ACCATACCCCCATAGGACATGGTGGAACCACAACATGGCTAAACCGAGGACACGAAAGCTTACCTCTAAGCTAGCTATCCAATGCCACAAGCTCAAAGTCCAATCACAACAGATCACAATCTGATATGGACCAATTATAAATCAATAATATGCACCACATGCATACAAATTAAAGACAACGCCTTTTCATTACGCTTTATGTCTTAAGGCTTCTCACCAAGCCATAAGCCCTTAATCACTTGATTCTGACTTAGCTTAATTAAAACAGAAGTTCAACTTCACTCATCTAGGGTCCACAAACCCTCAATAGCCTACTGTTCTCACCGCACAGCTACTGTTCTTCGAAATCCCAGAATATCCGGATATTCCTCGGGACCATATCCGGATATTCAATATCCGGATATCTCACTGTGCATATCCGGATATCCAATATCCGGATATCCAGAATCCCCTATCCGGATACCAAATATTCGAATATACAAAACCCCATATCCGGATATCACATATCCGGATATTCATCGGGCGGATATCCGAATATTTCACGACAGAATGCAGAAGATACATTTCGTGAAGATATCCATCCAAGGTTGGGTTTTTAACGATTTAAAACACCTAAACATGCATTTCTAGGTGTTTTCAACATTACCCAACAATAAGTTATCATCTTTGAGCCTTAACATGCATCAAGCTTTCATTTTTAAGCATTAAACTCATGATCAAAGGTTGGTATACATACCAAAGGCCTAAAACAGAGAATGGAGGTGCTCTTGGAGCTCAACACAGCCCCTCAAGTCTGACTCAAAGATGTGCACGAAAATAACACCATAAAGGTTGGTTCCTTAGAGCAAAGTTCCCCACTTGGACCTCCAAAAACCAAAGCCAAGCTTCTCACAACCAAGCCAACCAAGTCAGCCCCAAAACCCCTCACCAACAGTGGCTGAGCACTCCCCCAAGCCCACTCTCCACACTCACAAGTCACCACCCAAGTGTATACAAGAAGAAAGGGTGAAGAAAACCAATAAAGGCCACAACTTGGCTCAAGAATGAGGGAGAAGGCCAAAGGAACAGAAACTGGTCAGCCTCCACCAACAACTCACGCTCAAAGTCTGGTATCTAGGGCTTTGTGCCCTTTAAAAGGAGTATATATAGCCCAAACGCACTTAAACACATAGTATTAACTTTAATTGCTACGCTTAGCATTTTAATCCCAAACTTTGGATTATGAAACTACATAATTTTCTAAGATTTATCATATTTTTCTTATAATTTCCTGAGCACCTTTCTGGTACGCGCTTTTCCAAGCCAGTACCGGTTTCTAGCACCAGTTCTCATTATCTGGACTTGAACCTCGTTTTACAAGTCCTACATATTATTCTAGTAATTAACATGCACTTACTTTAATTTTCCGGGTACTTTTTTCGATACTCATTTATACCGACTAGCAGAACCGGTATCTGCACTTTTCTTCCGAAAAGCGACTTTCAGCATTATTACTCACTTACTATCATTATTAAAGCCTCATAATAATTATTAGGGTCAATTATGGAATCATTTCCTAATTTTGCATAATTGATTAATTAAATTCCTTAATTAACGGTGTGGGTTCTTACACTATACCTCCTCCACAACATTCTAAAATGGGATCTCAAAGTTGATAGAGCATTTATGCGAGATTTTGAGACTTCGTATAGAATCAAGTATTTGAGCCCTTTCATGGGCGACTTGTGCCTTCTTGTTTATATGATGGACATTTCTCGGCATTAGGGGGAGAAAACCGTAAGCTTAATGAATTCGGAAAATTATTCTGAAAGAAAAATCGAATGAATTATCTTTCTCAACGTATAAGTATTATATAACTTGAAGTTAAAAATATTATTAACTTCCAAACTTTAGCAAGTCAAATGCCATATGTATTTATTGATCTCAAAGGAGTGGCTAAGTCTTGTATCCCTGCAAAAAATGCACCACCTATAATGGATATTCCATTAGGACTAAATATTTCTAAGTTTAGTCAAGGCCGGAAGCATAATTGACCTATAGGGCTAAAAATATAAGTCTGCAGAAAAAGAAAAGTAAGTCGCTCATCGCACCTTCTGAAGAAGCGAACCCATTAAAATAAATGCAACTACTAATTACAACAATCCCAGAAATATGGAATGACCAATTCTGGATGTCAATAATTTTTTGATGTTGATGTATGCAAAAAACATATTGATAAGTGAGAAAATATGATAATATTATAACTATCATCAACAACACTGTTTCTTTCTTAATAGCTCTTGTTATCTCAAGAGATAATATGGATCCAGAATCCAAAACTATTCAAGAATGGCAAAAGCATTTAGACATGAATGAATGAAAGGAGGCAAGGGTTTTTGCTGATACTTGACATCAATTATAATGTTTCTTATTCTCTCAACTGTATTTTATTATGTTCCGTTACTTGATCAGTATGGCAACTAGGATGCATCTTGAGATGCATTTAATGGGTGTTGTGACTGCATGGTCACTTGATGATGATATTTATTTGAAAATCCCTAAAGGATGGAACCCTGAAGATTTATTATTGTGCTTTTTTTTCTTTACCAAGTTTTGTTTTTCAAATGATTTTTCTTGACCAAAGATTTTTAACAAGGCAACTTATGCAATGTTTTGGTAGCGCATATCAGGTACTGTTCTTCATTCATTATTTTTTTCTCATTGGGTTTTCTAGCAAGGTTTTAACTAGGCATGAACTCAATACAATTATATCCAATGAAAAGTGTTATAAATAAACGTTATGATCCAATTGAATGGACATTACTACAATTTATTTCGGGAGAAGATTACCAATAACTATTATGAAAAATTGTAACTGTTGATCCACTTCCTTAACTCCAGCAGTAGCTATATGACTCAATTGAGGGGGAGTATATGTATTGCACTCTTTTTTTCTTTACCAAGTTTTTACCTCATTGGGTTTTTCTTGTAAAGGTTTTTAACGAGGCAGTCTAAGTTAGCATATAACAAAAGATTGTATTTTTTTTGGGTTAGCCACGGGTATCCTCCACGTGAGACAATTTTGTTTGGGGCGAGTCCAAGATTAAGGCTTTAAACCCCTCACAAAGATAGTATTGGGGAGGATCAAAAACATTTTCTCACACCCACCTGCTCAGCTCTCATGCGTCAACTAAGCTACCATCATTTTATACAAAAGATTTTATGTTAATTATGAATATTATACTCTTTTTCCTTCGTTGTTGATGAGTCTCCAATTTACTATGTATTAAGGGTCAATATGAGTATGAAATTGATTTAAAAGTAATTAAAAGTTATGAGAATTATAAAAATTTGTTATTTTATTTTCAATAATATTATCATAAGCTTTTTATATTTTGCAGTAAATTTCAGCTCAATAAAGAGATAAATTGGAGATATCAAGTAGATTGTTTTGGATTTATGAATCATTCAAGATCTTATCAAATCTTCGTTTGAATATTTTTAAAGAAAGTTTTCCATTAAATAAAAAGGGGAAGATTTGAAGGATTGGATCAAAGATATGATTAGAGATTATAGTGAAGATTCCATTGAAGATAGTATGGAAAATTAAAAGATATGGGTTTCATCCTATAAAAAGGCATCTCTTGGAAACTCAAAAACAAAATTCGACAGAGGCAACAATATTCAGATGAGGAGACTCACGCTGGAGATTAGGATTCCAGAGAACATGAAGATTGAAGACCATTGATCCTTCTTCTTCATATTTTTCTTTTCTTTTCTTGTTATGAATTCTTTTTATTTTAATTTGTTAAAGTCAGATATATCTGGCTAAGTTCTTTTTGTAGTTGGGATCACGGATCAAATGTGAATCCTTTATATGTTTTAAATTGTTTTTATAATTAATGTAGTTTATGTAGCTTTATTCTACCTGTGTTAATTCTTCCATATCCTTGATAGAATTGATCGCTCTATTATAGGGTTTTGAGGGTTAGAGCTCACAATAGACATATTGGAGTTTTAATTCAAACAAGGGTAGAATAACAATCCATGCATGACCTAGACATAGGCTTACATAGATTACAGACTTTTAAATTCATTTCCTTAATGCTTAATTCAAGAGGAATTAATAGAACACTAGGATTCTAATTGGGTTAAATGGTTGAATACACTAAGACATTAGGGTTCAACTAATTAATAGGGAAATAATGAATCGTCTGAGCTAATAAATTAATTAGTTATAAAATACAATTTAGGAATATAAAGGAGGATCGGAGGTGAAGTGCATCCTAACTGCAGTTTCTTTAACAAATTCAATTACTCATATTTTCTTTGACGTTCTTTATATTTCTTGAATGTGTTTGATTATTATTGTCTTTAAATTTATGTTAACAAATACTTTTTCAATTAAACTAGGTTTTCCAAATTAAGGGAAATAGTTAAATTAATACTTGGTGCATTAATCCTCGAGGAAACAATCTTTACTTATCATTTTATTACTTGGAACGAATGGTATACTTGCCGATTTCGCAACGCTATCTACTGGATTTTTCTTAGTAAGGTTTTAATGAGACATAGTCACAGTATATAATTAGTCATGAGAGTGTTATAAAATATTTATGTGGATGACTATATAAATTCGCATGACTTTTGATGTACAATATAACCACCATACTTATAGTGAGTTCAAGTGTAACTCGTGACTTTTTATGTACTTGTAACCACTGTTAGAAATATTAAGAGTCAATTATAATATTAAAAGAATTTTATTATAATTATAATATTAAGACTCTTTATATTACCCATTAAACGTTATATGGCCCAATTAATTACTGATACATTTAATCTCAATCATATCATTGATTTGGTATATGATGGACGTACCAGATTATAAGTTATGGAATATATATATTAGGGATGGTCCTCTCTCCTCTTCAACCCTAATGTCATTTTCTCCATCAGAATACATAGAAAGAAAGAAGGCTTAGAGAGAGAGAAACTACTCCAATACAATTTCTGACAAGATGGCTGTTGTTAACGCCTCATCATCGAGATCTGGTATGTCTTTATCTTTTATGTGTATATCAAAATCATGTATTCCCAATATCCTTTATCATGTTCTTATTTTATGATTTATGAACATGATATATTATGTTCAAACTAACATGTGGTATCAGAGCTTGGTTTAGGAATTCATGTTTTTCCATGTATGATTATGATCCGATTTTTGATTGTTTGAAAAGTTAGGGTTTCTAAAATTTATGTTTTTCCCTAATGATTTTTTATATGATTTCATGTTTATGAATGTATGTCGTATTTTTCAAATTATCGTTTCCGAATCCAAATTATATCTTTGCAATTGACAAAAAGATAAAATCTTATTTTTGCAAATTACCATTTCCGAATCCATGATTTCATGTTTATCATTGAAATTCGATTTATATATATATGACGTGACTATACGACTTTTTGAATGCTGATGTATTTGTTCTAATGAATTTTTTTTCTAATAATCAAGAAGCATTATGAGTTGACAGTATGTATGTGGTCTAATAATCATGAAAACTATCAAGAAGCATTATGTATGGATATGAAATTATACAAATATATAGTTGACAGTGAACTTGTATATGAATAAATTAGAACTGTTCATGTTGATGATGGAATATATGTTTTAGTGATCATATATGTTTCTCATACATTCTTTGTTTTAAACTAAAATTCTTGAAATTATTTCTTTTGTGTTTGCAATTATGGTATTCGGTCCCATTGTGTAGTGGCGTGTGATTGGTTTTTGGTAATTGAAATAAATCTGAAACGTTTTGACATTAATTTTGAAATTGTTTATGATTATGAGTACACTGATATTTTATTAAGAGTATGAAAAATATGCGTTGTTTATGTTATGAATAATGCGGTATGTATAATGGCATGGTTTTCGCTGCTGCCGTATGAATTTTTTATATAGGCATTAGTATGAAGATTTGCATCGTTCATGTTTACAAAATAAATAAATAAAAAATTGCAATATGTATATTTGAAGTATGAATTGTATTGTCTTATATATACTTATTGTAAAACAAAATTATGCAATATATTGTTATTATGATATGGAATTGATCTGTTAGTTATTTTCACACATTATGTTATAGTTTTTTGGTCACCAAAATGGCCAAACTATGTACCAAAAAAAAATGGCCAAACTAATACTGTGTAGATAACATAAAAGTCATTTATTTGTGTGCATTATAGTTATAGTTTGTTAGTCACCAAAGTGGCCAAACTAGAATGTTATCGCATGCATAAAATTGTCATTTATCCATGTACTTATGAAATACCAATTACTGATATAAATTGACGTTGCTGATTATTATAAATGAGGGATTCACCCAAAGGTATATAATTAGTGACATTATGTGGAAAATTAGTATTTTGATTAAATATGTTTTGATTATCCAAAGATAATGGATATATTTAATTAAAAAATATGTTGTCTATTAATGTTTTGGTATTTGCTTATGAAGAGTATATTGTCGTATCTACCCAAATGAGTGCTACTTTGTGCTTGTATGATTTTATTTGAATCACATTTATGATTATTCATGAGCTTTTGTGTATGTTATTTTAATTGCAGCTTTTTCCATGAATTCACAAGCTTCATCTGTTACTATGTTTGCTGGTGAGAATTTCTCAGAATGGCGTGAACAAGTCAATTTTCACTTAGATGTTATGGATCTTGACTTGGCACTCTTTGAGGTTGAACCCACTGCTATTACTGAAACCAGTAGTGAGGAAGAGAAATCTCACCATAAGGCATGGAAACGATGTAACAGATTGAGCCTTATGTTCATTAAGATGATTGTTGCCAACAACATTAAGTCAACCATTCCACAAACAGAAAGTGCAAAAGAATATATAAAGTTTGTGAAAGAACGCTTCCGTTCAGCGAACAAGTCACTTGCTGGTACTCTTATGGGACAGCTCACGACCATGAAGTTTGATGGGTCGCGAACTATGCGAGAGCACATTATTGAGATGACTAATTTTGCAGCAAAACTTAAGACCTTGGGACTTACTGTTGAGGACTCATTCTTAGTTCAATTTATTTTGAACTCGCTGCCTTATGAATATGAGCCATTTCAAATTAACTATAACACTATTAAGGATAAGTGGAATGTTAATGAATTGACCAGTATTCTCGTTCAGGAAGAAGGGCGTTTAAAGAATCATGGGAGTCACTCTATTAATCTCATGGATCATAAAGCTGGGAAAGGATTGAAAGCAAGATCAAGACACTTCAAGAAAAAGAAAGCACCTGTGCAAGATGGGCAGGAGAAATGAAAAAGGAACTAAAGGACATTGGTTGCCACTTTTGTAAGAAGTCTGGGCACTATCAAGTTGAATGTCCCAAACGTATAGCTTGGTTCGAAAAGAAGGGTAAGTATCAATCTTTCGTAAGTTTCTAATTAAATTTAATTGAAGTTCCTAATAATACTTGGTGGCTTGATTTTGGTGCTACAAATCATGTTTCCAACAACTTGTAGGGATTCGTTACGATCCGAACTATAAATCCAAATGAAGATTGTTTTCTCTTTATAGAAAACAGAAAGAAATCTTCGATTGAAGGCATAGGGACTTATCGTCTGGTCTTAGATAGTGGCTATCATTTAGACCTATTATGCACCCTTTATGTACCTTCATTATCTAGGAACCTTATTTCAGTATCTATGTTGGATGTTAATGGTTTTAAACTTATGTTTGGATCTGGTTATTTCAATTTATATAAGAATACTGATGTTGTTGGTTCTGGTATTCTGATTTATGGTTTATATAGATTGAAATTGAATGAGTCTTATGTTGAATCACTGCTTAATGTTGTTTATAATGTTGGATTTAAGCGTAACATAGAGAATGAGAATTCTGCTTTCTTGTGGCATAGAATATTAGGTCATGTATACAAAGAAAGAATAATAAGATTGGTGAAGAATGATATTTTGCCAAATTTAGATTTTACTGATCTTAAATTATGTGTGGATTGCATTAAGGGAAAGCAAACCAAACATAATAAGAAAGATGCCACAAGAAGAACCCAGCTTCTAGGGATTATACACAATGATATTTGTGGACCTATGGACACTCCAGCTTTTAATGGAGAAAAATATTTCGTTATCTTTATTGATTATTTTTCACGTTATGGTTACATCTATTTACTTCATGAAAAATCTCAATCAGTAAATGTCCTAGAGACATTCATTAAGGAGGTTGAGAGGCAGTTAGATAAAAAGGTGAAAATGATAAGGTCAAATAGAAGTGGTGAATATTACGGTAAATATAATGAGTCAGGACAATGTTCAGGTCCATTTGCAAAATTCCTCAAAGAGCATGGCATATGTCCACAGTATACTATGCCGAGCACACCACAACAAAATGCTGTGGCAAAAAGGCGTAACTGAACATTAATGGATATGGTTAGGAGCATGATGAGTAACTCCTCATTACCCAAAAGTTTGTGGATTTATGCGCTTAAAAGTGCGACCTACTTGCTGAATAGGATTCCTAGTAAGGTAGTTCAAAAGACTCTTTTTGAATTGTGGACAAGAAGGAAACCTAGCTTAAGGCACCTGCATGTTTGGAGTTGCCCAGCTGAAGCAAGGATTTATAATTCACATGAATGAAAGTTAGACTCTCGAACGATTAGCAGATACTTTATTGGTTATCCTAAGAAGTCCAAAGGGTATGTATTTTATTGTTCGAACCATAGTTCGAGAATTATGGAAACTGGTAATGCAAGATTCATTGAGAATGGCGAAGTTAGTGGGAGTTCTAAAAGGGAAATTGTGGAAATAAAGGAGATCAGGGTAAATGTTTCATTGCCTATAATTGTTACTCCATCTACTAAATTTCCTAATGTTATTCCAGTTGTTGTAGAACAAGATGACAACACTAAACAACATTTGAATGAAGAAGTACTCCCAGCAGATGCTAACTTGCATAATGCTAATGCACAAGAACCACATGAAATAGAATTAAGAAGATCCCAAAGGGAACGTAGGCCAGCTATTTCGGATGATTATGTGGTTTACCTATAGGAGTCGGATTATGACATTGGAATCAATAAAGATCCAGTTTCGTTTTCATAAGCCATATAAAGCATAGAATCTGATAAATGGATTGAAGCTATGAAAGAAGAGCTAAAATCCATGGATCAGAATGATGTCTGGGATCTCGTCGAATTACTTGAAGGTTCCAAAAGAGTCGGTTGTAAGTGGGTCTTTAAGACGAAACGTGACTCTAATGGTAATATCGAATGATATAAAGCTAGACTTGTTGCCAAGGGTTATACTCAGAAAGATGGCATTGATTATAAAGAGACATTTTCACCTGTCTCGAAAAAGGATTCATTAAGGATAATTATCGCATTGGTGGCTCATTATGATTTAGAGCTACGTCAAATGGATGTGAAAACAGTCTTTCTTAATGGTGACCTTGAGGAAGAAGTTTATATGGATCAACCTGAAGGTTTTTCCATTGAAAGCGAAAGAAAATTAGTGTTTAAACTCAAGAGGTCAATATATGGACTTAAGCAAGCATCCCGACAATGGTATATCAAGTTCAATACCATTATTACATCTTTTCCATTTGAGAAAAACACTGTTGATCGATGTATTTACCAGAAGATCAGTGGGAGTAAGTTTGTTTTCTTAGTTCTTTATGTTGATGACATCTTACTTGCTGCAAATGATTTGAGTATATTGCGTGAGACTAAAGATTTTCTCTCAAAGAATTTTGAAATGAAAGATATGGGAAATGCATCCTATGTGATTGGAATAGAAATATTCCGTGATCGATCAAAAGGATTGTTGGGACTATCTCAGAAAGGATATGTTGAGAAAATTCTAGAGAGATTTAATATGAGTAAATGCTCACCTGAAGTTGTTCTTATACAGAAAGGTGATAAATTTATTCTCATGCAATGCCCAAAGAATGATGTTGAACAGAAAGAAATGGAATCAATTCCATATGCCTCTATTGTGGGCAGCTTAATGTATGCTCAAACCTGTACTCGGCCAGATATCAGTTTTGCAGTCGGGATGTTGGGCAGATATCAAAGTAATCCAGGGAATGGAACATTGGAAAGCTGCAAAGAAAGTTTTAAGATACCTTCAAGGCATGAAGGATCACATGCTCATGTACAAAAGGTCCAATGAATTAGAAGTAATTGGATATACTGATTCAGATTTTGGTGGATGTCTTGATAGTAGAAAGTCAATCTTTGGCTACTTGTTTATGTTTGCCCAAGGAGCCATATCATGGAAAAGTGCAAAACAGACTATCGTTGCTTCATCCACTATGGATGCAGAATTTGTGGTATGTTTTGAAGCCACAACTCATGCATTATGGCTGCAGAACTTTATTTCAGGGCTTGCGGTTATCGACACCATTAGCAGGCCGCTGAAAATTTATTGTAATAATTCTACAGCAGTATTCTTCTCTAAGAACGAGAGATAATGTAAAGGTGCCAAACATATAGAGTTAAAGTATTTTTCCGTTAAATAGGAGGTTCAGAAACAGAGTGTCAATTATGCACATCAGAACCGAACACATGATGGCAGACCCTTTGACAAAAGGGTTACAACCAAAGCTATTTAAAGAACATGTTGAACGCATGGGCCTTGGTTGTATTAAAGATTATTGATGTGTGACACTCTGAGCTCACCTATGTGTTTCTGACATACATTATCTTTTCTTGTTTTTTTATAATTGTATACACATTATGAATTTTGACAAGGAAGTCTTTGTAAGACATTATGTGAACCATTATGTTTCCTATATTATGAATTTTATATGATGGATTGTTGGTGTTGTAGTATATGGAAGGGAATGTACTGAATTAATAGCGCACTACCGCCATAACTCACACTTGACAATTTACTAACATTAGAGATTAACATGTATGTTATGATTAATCGGGCCAAGTGGGAGAATGTTAGAAATATTAAGAGTCAATTATAATATTAAAAGGATTTTATTATAATTATAATATTAAGACTCTTTATATTACCCATTAAACGTTATATGGCCAAATTAATTACTGATACATTTAATCTCAATCATATCATTGATTTGGTATATGATGGACGTACGAGATTATAAGTTATGGAATATATATATTAGGGATGGTCCTCTCTCCCCTTCAACCCTAATGTCATTCTCTCCATCAGAATAAGAAAGAAGGCTTAGAGAGAGAAACTATTCCAATAGAATTTCTGACAAGATGGCTGTTGTTAACGCCTCATCATCGAGATCTGGTATGTCTTTATCTTTTATGTGTATGTGAAAATCATATATTCTCAAGATCCTTTATCGTGTTCTTATTTATTATTTATGAACATGATATATTATGTTCAAACTAACAACCACCACACTAATGGTGATTTAAAATGTAATTATTTCCTATTCACTATAAAGACATGATTTATATGAAAATGGTAATGATTTTTTTTTTTTTAAATGAAAATGGTAATGATTAGTTGATTCGGAAGTTGACGACATTCTTATATATACTTTTCAATAGTTCTTCTTTTGATCTTCTTATGTTTTCTCCTTTCTTTATATCTCTTCCTTTATTTTATAACAATAAGAGAAATATCATAAAGCAATGGGTAACCAGAATAGTAGAGATAAGTTTTTATTTTATGATGATGTCTATTACAAGCTTTACATATGAGCTCTATTTATAAGCTCTCAATCAGTTACAATAATGAGTTAAATAATAAAATTGAATCCTCTTAATTACATATTATTAACTTATAAGAGTTACAGAAGTTATACATTATTTCTTTGGGAGTTATGGACATAACAATCCCAATAATTTTAGCAAAATTCAGTTTTTAGTTTTTTTTTTAATCAGATACATTTTATATTTTTATTCTTTTAAATTTTAATTTTCATAATTTTTATTTATTAAGGTATTAATTGATACTATCAAAGCCAGAAAACCAAGACGTCGTATATTAACAACATTCTATCAAACTTTTGACAAGCAATAATGTTATGGTCATATGAAACTGATCTTGTTGAATGCATTAATTAATTGAATATTTAAGAGGGAGATATAATCTGTTCATTATCATATTGGTTCAATCATTTTATTATAGAATGGCTCAATTTTTTATTAAGAAGGGGATAATAACATGTGAATACTCATAAATCCTAACAACGATATAGAAGAAAATGAAAGAAAAATTAACTCCTATATTATTTATGGTTTTACATGAAAAAGTCATGATTTTTTTTAAAGGATTTAGTTAACCCACTTAAAGAATGATGTATACATGACA